GATACTTTTGCAATTCATACGCGCCGCCGCAGTGCAACTACCGCACACAGAGCTCCTTCATATCAAGTGTAAAAATGTCTGGGTCTGGAAGAATGCAACTTGTGATGCTGCATTTGGATTCCAAAAAAATCTGTATTGCATGAGTACCAAAGGGAATGCAATTTTTGCTACGCTGAGAAGGCATTTGTCATGCGGAATAGGCATCGAGAAGCCGCCAAAAAACCTGTATTGCTAGGGTATGCATCACAGACATCATGGCTCATGCAAAACGCGCATGACAAATCTCGCATTCTTCCAGACCCAGACATTTTTACATTTGATATCCCCGGTTGGTCTTCCGGATTGTTCGTTCCACCCAAGGCAGCTCCTCCTACATCCGAACTCAAACCTCCACCCGCGTTGTCCTCATCTAACGGCCACTCTTGCCCGCCCTTCTGCACGGTTCTTTTATCGGGTAAAAACTGGCTCTCTTCGCACCAGTGCATGTGGAAATCCACTAGGTGCTTGTGCTTCATCGCGAGGAAAGTTTTCACTTCGTTGAAAGAGCGCTCTATCTGCGCGATGTTCTCGGTGGAGGTGAGTCGGTAGTTTTTCACTTTAAACGCTGCGTAGGACTGGTCGAGCTTGTTTTTCGCCTTGTAAACGACCCCGAAACCGCCTTCCCCCAAATAAGTAACGTCCTCGTACTGGCGAAACATCAAGGTGTTGTTCAACGACAACCCCAGTTGCGAGTCCGGCGGAACCTGGCACTGGCGCAGCCCCTGGTAGCCGAGCAGGAAATTCCCCTCGAGTTGCTGCGAAAGCGAAGTGCTGGCTGCAATAGTGGTGGTCCTGAGCTCTGGGGAGCCATTCGTTGCTGTCTTTTCTCCACCCGGATGAAATTTCGTGGTTTTTTCATTTTCTCCTATCGTAGTTGTCGCCCCGGGTGCAGCTGTGGTGTTGTCATCGGCGCCGTCCACTGTTGATTTATTTCCACCGTCTTGCGTCGTCAGCCGCGACGTATCAATTATATTACCATTTTCTCCCACGACCGACGACGACCCCGAAGCGGTCGACGCTCGCTGCAGCCTTGCCGATTCCTTTTCGCACTGTTCCTTCCACTTTTCCACATCTTCCACCGGAACCTTCAGTCCGAGGTACAAACAGGGAACCGCGAAGGCGACGGCGGTGAAAAACAACCGCAAAGCGGAGAAAGTTGGATAGTTTATTATTCCTGTTGAATCCAAAGATGTTGAGCCACCTGCTCCGGGTAGAAGACCAGCGCTTGATGCTCCTATTGTGGCATAATTACTAAAAGGCGAAATAACGCCGGCCTGCGGCGCCAGGATGATCGCGAGAATGCTTGCGTAGACGCTGAGCATCATGAACCACGGCGCCATCCCGGACCTCTCCAACGCGTTCAGATACAAGCGGAGCGCCATGGCACCGGCGATCAGCGGGACTTGCCGGCGGAGTTCGTAGCCAAAGTACATGTCGAAAACGAAAACAGAGGAAACCATCCCCACGACGATCGCAGCGATAATCGCCTTCCAGAAGTTGGAATCAACAATCGAGTCCCGTACGTACTTGCGGAACCCCTTTTTATCTCGACTACTCCTTTCCAGCTCGTCCTTATCGATAATTTTGGACTGCACCGGCAGCTTCTCCTGGTCAATGAACGGATTGTAATTCGCCCCTTGCAGGTACTCCGCGATTAATCTAGACCGCTGCGCGTACAAGTGGCGCATGGCCGCTCTGGAAGAGGAGAATTTGTGCTGCTGTGGTCCAGCGTTATGTTGTTGTAACAAATCTTCCTCCCCCTCGAGGATGGAATTAGCTGTACCGGAAGAATCTGTAATGCTGCCATGAGTGTAGTCGAAGTACTCCAAGTCGTCAAAGTAATCGCCGAAAAAAGGTGGCAGCTGGTCCGCATCGCCGTCTCGAAAGCTCGTCCTATACCGGTCCCGGTCGAGTAAAGATTTCAGCTTTTGCCACACGCTCGCGGACAAATGCGCCGGTGGATGCCCGCCACGGAAGTAGCGGTAGTTGATGTCGTCGTGTGAGTCGTGATTTGATGAACCATGCTGATGGTGCCCGCTGTTGTAGTGGTCTTGGTTAGTGCTTCCAGCCGGGCCGGGCAGCATTAACAGCCTCGGGTTGTTAAGAATTGATTCGGAGGGGTGAAAATGATGTTGACCGGGATGGTGTTGCTGATGATACCTGCTGACGGGGTCGTGCTGACCGTTAGTAGTACTACTGCGCGTCCCATGAGGACCACCAGCTTGATGTTCCACCATCCCAGCCGACGGTAGCCCTAACCTCTGCAAAACATCCCGCTGCAGCAATTCGCTATTCCGCGTCTGCAGATGAATGTCGCGGACCAACACCAACTCCCCGCCCCCGCTGGGACTGGGGCTCGGGTGATACTCCTCGCCGTCGATCACCTGCACGTTGCCGTTCCGTATCAATTGCAAATGTGTCTGGTTCTGGAAAGTTCTGAGACTTGTCATGCACGTTTTGCATGAGCCATGATGTCTGTGATGCATGTCCTAGCATGACAGATTTTTTCAGAGCTTCTTGATGCCCCTTTCGCATGAGAAACGCCTTCTCCGCCTAGCAAAAATTACATGCCCGTTGCTGCTCATGCAATACAGATTTTTTTGGAATCCAAATGCAGCATCACAAGTTCCAATTCGTCCAGACCCAGACATATTTGCAATGCATATTCCGCAGAAAGTCGATGCTGTGGTCGTGAATCTGGTTTTGCCCGGAGGGGGAGGCTATCAAATGCAAAAATGTCTGGGTCTGGAAACTTGTAATGCTAAAAGTGAATGGTAGACGCACCGCTACAATACGCAGCTACGCATGACAAATTTTTCGATTTTGTCAATTTCGATCCTGACAGTTCCATAGGGCGAGTTGAAGTACGTCACGGAGGCGTTGGACAAACACGTGTTGTGGTTCAACGAGAAGCATACGGACCACATATGGAATGCAAATATGCCTGGGTCTGGGAGATTGCGAGATTTGTCATGCTTGTCTGGCATGAGTCTTAAATCTGTGATGCATGAGCAGGAAAATGGCCTCTTGCCTGTCATGCAAATAAAACGGAGTTTGTCATGCGAAAAACGAAACACACAGAAGCGGCAAAACTTGTCATGCTGGGCTGTATATTGTAGCGCGCCCACAATTCGTAGATTTGCATCACAAGTTTATTCCAGACCCAGACATATTTGCAATCCATATCACACCTTCTACGGCAACTATCCGAACGTCGACGAGTTGTGGCCGGTTTTGAAGCAAGTCCACCACGACCACGCTATCCTATGTAAAAACGTCCCCACCCCATAGTCAAGATGGGAAATCGGCTAGACAAATCCAAAAGTTTTGGCTGTTTCGCATGACAGATTTCAAGAACTCGTGGTGTAGTGCTGTTTGAGCTGGTTCAGCAGCATCACAGATCTAGTATGTCGCGCTGATTGGAGCATGACAAATCGCAAAACACGACTACAAAATGCTTCTCATGGGGCTCCGCATGAGAAACATTTTCAGCGTGCAGGTCTGCATCACAACTATGTGGTGGGGACGTTTTTAAATACGATACACGCGTCCGGGCAGTTGGCCGTGCAGCACTTTGTTCGGGAGCCGACCTTTGGCGTCACGTTCAACGAGGCCAAACCCGTGCAGCGCATGCAGCACACGTTTACGGAAGAACCGAAGACCGCGGCCCAGGAAGCCGCGGCCCACGCAGCGTCGGCCCAGGCGAAGGCAGCAACCCAGCAGGCGGCGGCAGCGCAAGCACAGAAATTGAAGGAGCAGAGGTACACAAATAGCAGGAGCGTCATGCATAATCAGATATCAAGTGATAATATTTATTATCCTGTATGCATTGTTTTGTTTGTAGCTGAATAAAAATACTTATTTTGTAATGCCATGATATGCATAAATTATTTCGGCACTAATGACGTGAATATGAGACAGCACCAGCTGGTATTTGTCATGCGAAGTGGCACCGCCTCCACCACCCAAAATAGTATCTTCCAAGAAATATTTTTCTCGCTAACAGTGCTGCCAACGGCGGCGGCGATGGGAAAATCACGAAGTCTGGCTCCTTCGACATCCCGCCGGAGCAGCTCGGCAAGGAGCACATCAACCCGGAGCTCCAACCCGATAATGTCATCGAGCAGCAGTACAAACACAAGCCCAAGAACTTCACCGGTGCCGTCGGGAACGGGTACGGTGGCGTCGAACACCCGTCGACCGCGACCACAGATAACGCCGGGCAGGACGCCGCTGACAACCAAGTCGCACTGGAAATGGAGGCGAAACAACTGAACTCTGTTGTGGTGGAGAAGCAGCTGCACCACCAACCC